ACTCCTGCAAATCGTTTTGCTTTAGACTGACCGGGAGCAACCTCTGGTAGTATCGATATGTAATCTTCAATCAAACTGTCGCCTTTCTTCTTTCTGAGTTTCCTCGGACCACGACCTCGCTTCTGCGTTATCCACTTCCTTGTTATGAAAGCTCTTGTCCATTTTATGACCGCCTTCTACTTTTATGACCACCTCGTGAACTAACACCTTTCTTCATGAATGATGATGCAATGCAGCAATAATAAATAAAGCACAAAACACAAACAAAAATAAAAATGGTGTTAGTATATACAATGAATAGTCGAAGAATAAATAAACAAACATGAAGATAGAAAATATGATCCTAAACTTTATTCATATGGTATCTACCCAACATGGTGTCTACCCAATCATGCTTTAGTAGATTCTACCCAACATGATATCTACCCTCATGCTTTGTTATTCAAAAAAAAAAAATCCTAACCGCATGGTATCTAATTCACATGCTTGTTCAAAAAATAAACCTAACCACATGATCTCTAGTTCGCATACTTTTTGCAAAAAATGAATATTCGAGGAAAAGGTTAGAATAAATTTCCCCTCTACGACTTTTGAAGAAAACGGGCAGAGGTTCGGTACAAAACGGGCAGAATTTTGGTATCACTAATAAGGTCCTCGAATTGTCCTTTGCTGGTGCCCCCTTGGGCTTGCCAAACCCTCGATTTTCACCCATTATAGGCTTAAAATGGATCAATTTCAATTCGAGAGGATACATTTCCCTATGTCCATGCGAGGAAACTCAATGTTTCACTCGTAAACATAAGGCATGTACCCCAGAGGTTACTTGCTAAAGCCCATGCGGAGAAAAGTAATTTTTCTCACGTAAGCGTAGCGTTCACCCCTACCTAACGGGACAGAGCACAGTTAGAAGGCTCTAAATATCAAAATGGTTGTTGCGATAGTAAAGGAGAAACCCATAATCCTTTCCCTCGATCCAATAAACACAACATACTAAAGTGAAGGTCAAAAACTGAAACATGTAAATCACACGTTAGTACAACTATTTATTTGTTAATTAAAGCGTAAATTAAAATGCAAACAACAATTTAAAACAAATCAGGGATCAAAAACCAAATTAAAGTGAACTTACAACTTTCGTTTGCAAAGACAATTAATTAATCGACTATAGGCCTGACTCTCTAAAAACGTCCCCAGCAGAGTCGCCAAGCTGTCGAAACAAAATTTTTTTTTTAAAAAAAAACGAGATTTTGAAAACCGCCTCAATTTTTAATTATCTTCTTTACGATTGAATTTTAATTAAAAACAATGTGACTTTATAAAATCTATCGTTGCGAAAATTTGGAAATCCTTTTACGATAAAAACATATGGTTCGAGGAGTCGCCACCAATCTTTGATTAGGGTGTGATTGGGCACCCAAAAACGTTGTCGTTTTAAATAAAAATTGATTTAATTAAAACGACAAATTTACTGTCTACGTTACCAAAATCCAAGTTCGGGAGTCGGTTACGTGTGGAGAAGGATTAGCACCCCCACAACGCCCTAAATCGGTACCTAGTCGATTAATTAATGTCTTTGCAACAAATTTCACAAGTTCGAATTTAATTTGATTTATGATCCCTTAAAACAACAAAAATGCAAATTTTAAAACATTCAATAAGAAATAAAATAGGTTAAATTAAAATTACCTAGCCATTAAAAAGATAAAGTATATTCGATTATTTAAAAATATTGAGACCAGATCTTTAGGTCAGTTCTAACGACCTTTTCTCAACAAATTTAAATAGCCGAACATTTCTTTTTCTTTCACTCCCTAATTTTAAAGTGAAAAATCAAATTTTTTAGTGACAATGACAGGATACACTTATAATTTAAAATCGTCAAGAACAACTTTCCTGTAAGTTAAAAAACCATTTCGACATTTTAATTAAAAGGGTATTACCCTTAATCGATTATGTAATTTGATTGAGTCATACATAAGGCTAACATGCAAATATTAATTAAAAATAATAATTATCTACTTAATAAATATATTAAAAATACTAAACAATATACCATCTTAATACAAAAAAAAATATTTACACGTACTATGTAATTATAAGTTATAAATTATAACCATACATACTAACATATAATGTACAAATGTGACTTAAAAATAAAACATAAAATGCCAAGTAATAAATTTAAAATATATATATTTGAAATAATGACTAAATTTAAATGAGTGTGAGATTAAACATGTAAATTAAATAAACTAGTGGCCTAAATCAAAATATGCATAAATATAAGTCTATAACTAATTCACCCCTAAGATTCCAATGACTAAACTATAATTTTACCAAATATTTTTTATAAGTAACCTAAACTAAACCTAAGCTATCATTCACACAAATAATATTTTACACAGCCGCACTTCTCCTCTCTACTTTCTCATTCACGCCACACTGCCGAGAATCCCCATTATTCCACGCTTGCTTGGCCATTATCAACAATGGGTTTTACTCTGATTGCCCTAAAATCTCACATATTTTCTCTTCTAATCTTGATAATCACTAAAAACTTATAAGTAAACCTTAATTCCCCTTTTATTACAACTCCTAAACCAAAGTATAGGGTCAACTAAACCCCTTCATACGCTGGCCAGTTCTTCGTTCTTCGCTATAGATCGACGCCACTCTCCCGTGTACACCATCTATGGTGACCTAACGAACATAAGAACCGACCCTAAAGGTAACTCCTCTCATTTTAGTTTTGTTTTCTAATATACCTTTATTCTTTTTTTTCTTTTTTTTTCTCTTAAGCTCTCGAATGGTGACTAATGGAAACCGACTCTTACGTTCCCTGAATTCCAGCAATTAAAATAGCATGCAACTGTCGTTCATCGGCGACAATAACCTGACCTAAACGTGATAGGTTCCCGTGAAGGAACCCGAACATCTCAGGTAAACATCGCGCTTTCTCCTCTTCCTTTGTGTTTTTATTATCTGTATACTTTTAAAAAAAACAAATATAGGAGATTTTTGGAAATAACAAATATGGAATTTGTTTTAAACAATATCATTGTTATGCTTGTTTGGTTACTTCGAATGGTTTATGGTTCTCTGTTACTGCTTTTTTTTAACCATGTTTTATCTATCAATGTTGTAAAAAAAATGAAGCAAAAACGTATTCACCATGGAATCAGTTTAAATAAAAAAACAGAAAAAAATACAGTAGAAAAGTAAATTGAAAACCTTCAGATGTATCCTGCTTGGTATACTTCTGTCGAAGAGAATAAGGAAAACTTTTACAAATTTCTCTCTTTCAACTAAGAAATTTCCGTCACTTGATGAGTGTTTTTTTTTTCCTCCCTGTTGATGAGCTCCCCCCTCTCTGGTTTTTGTATCCCCCTCCCTTTTATGGTTGCTTCCGATCCATCTTTTTCCTTCTTGGTTGGATTAGTGCTGAAGCAGGTACGTTTAATCCCATAATTTTCGGGATTTTTCCATTTCAAAGGTTTAGGTAAGGTTGTCAAATCTCTTTGACCTTGGTGACTGATTTGTTTATTGATTTGCTTATTTTATCAGCTTCAATGGATGGCATGATTGGTGGCAGTGACTTGCTTGGTGATTGGCTCATGCATTGATGGAAACCGGTAACTGGGGTAATGGTCACGTGGTTGAGCTTGAGTTATAGGAATTTGTAATCTGGGTCTCGAGCCTGAAAAAAATAATATGTAACATTAATAATAATAATAATAATAATAATAATAATAATATAATTTTAATATAATATTTATAATCCGGACAAAATGGATGTCTACACACAGCATTCCAAATGTCATGAAAAGTAGATAGGAAGAGATAAGTTCTCCCTACTCGGATCCATGAAATTTATAAGCCAAGACATAATCATCGAGTTTTTTGCCTCCCATCTTTCAGATTCTTCATCTTCTTCGACAGGTTTAGTAGTGGTACTTGAGAGATAGCCGAATTTTTTACGGCCACGAATAAACAGTTTTACAGATTGTGACCACTGTAAGAAATTATTTCCATTCAACTTGTGAGAAGTGATAGATATGTTTTGGAAGGATTCAGTGTTTAGAGTGATTGAGGGTGAGCGAGTAGAACTCATAGAGTCGATACCAGAGGTATCATCGTAGGGTTTGGCCATTTTGGCTCTGATACCATAAAGTCAAAAAAACTTGTTCCGAATAATCATTTATTTCTGAATAGGCTGACTTAAAGAGTTTACAAGTAACAACTTTACATAAAAAGATGCATAAAATTAATAACAGAATAAAACTGATTATATCTAATTAAAACTGATCCTATCTAATAACTAACAGAATAAAAACTAATTATATATAATTAAAACTGATCATATCTAATAACTAACAGAATAAAATATCTAATTAACAATCTTAATATTTAATTTAGACATTCTCGACCGATCATCCTCTTGACCATCACTTATGTCCTCGCATAGAATTGAGAGACTGGAAATAATGACATACATCAAGAAATTATTTTCTATAATATATTCAAAACCGGCGAATTTCAGAAGAAGACTTGGGAACACGGCCAAGGTAATTGACCTGTTATAATTGAACAAACAATTTACAATAATCAACAGAAAATTCCAAAATCCGATATGACCATTCAATTGTGAGCAAAGTATTCCAACAATTTTCTCAAAATTTCTAAAGTTTCAGAAGACTTGTGTCCAGCATCCCATTCCAACAATTACCCTGTCACGAAAACCTCTTCAATCTGCATAATAAATAGATATTTTCCTGATTTTAGAAGTCAATCGCTGCCAAGATTAGGTATTCCGCTCTATTTCTCATTCTTTCATTTACTCAAAACATACATAGAATTCCTTAAAATTTGGTTACAGTTCACATGTTTTTGAATGTACAGTTCACATGTAGAGTTCAGTTATAGGTAAAGTATACTAGAAATAACATTGTGTCCAAAAAAAAGGCCCAATAGAATTTGAGCAATTAGCCACAAGAAATCATAGACCAGATAGTAAACCTGGTTAGTTGTTAATATTGGTTGTCCTTCAAGACGCCTCAATCGATATTTAAAAACAGTGAACCCAGAATACCCTTCTCTGCTCAGTACTGAACAACCTGCAAATAGTGAGCGGTAATTAAATGCATTACATCTTATTGGAATAAAGCAACTTAAATTTCTCAAATCAACAAAGACTGATTTATTACCAAAAAATAAATCTATAATGAACACTCCATAGTCCATATAAAGAAAGCTAATTTTCAGAATATAGCTAAAGATTCCATCTAGCATTTAAACAAATTTTCAAATATTATAAAAAATTATATGTTGTCTTTCATGATCAAAGAATACAAGGCTACAACACCAAGCAGATAAAAGACAAACCAACCAGAAAACTGAAAAGTTTTTTTCTAGGCAAAATCGAATACTCAAAAGCATCATTCAATCAATGGCATGTGAGACATACAAAGTGTAGACACTAATTTTCAGTTTGTTTTTATTAAAATTATTATTATTATTATTATAAAATATTATTATCATTATTATAAATATTATTATTATTATTATTTATTTACAGCCCAACCAGAACCCAGAAGACCATTTACAAACCAAACCCGACCCCAAATTTTCAAGAACCGGCCCGGATCTAAAAGCCCAACAAGAACCAAATACAGAAACCCTAGGGTTTCATCATCTCAGCTTAAGCCGCCGCAAATCCTCAACCGTTGGATCTAATATGATCCAACGGTCCTGATGCAGTCCAGCAAAGAAACCCTTGGGTATCATAACCCTAGGGCCACGCGGCCGCCGCTCGTTGCCGACGCTCCACTGCCACGACGTCTCGCCAGAAGACTCCAGAAGCTTTGCTGCCACGACAACAGCCGCACACGCGTCACCATTTTTCAGTGAGTCACCACAATTTTCGGTGACTCACCAAACTTTTGCTCCTTTAACCGGTCCGAAGCCATCACCAGTGGTAGCTATAAAGCCACCGATCCTGCCAAGAAGAAAAGACACGACGACAACAACCAATAGAGGAGAACGAAAACAAACAACAAAAACGAACAACACCAAGAACAACCACCAACGATTCCAGACAACTACAGACCGGAGGGGAAAAAAAAGAGGAGAGAAACTTACTCTGTCATCGGAGTTCTTCAAAGGTCGTCGGAAAATCGAAACTTTAAAGGTAAAAAATTTTAGATTTACATTGATCTAAAGGGTTTTAAGCTAAAATAATTTTGGATTGGGGCTTAGAAAATTCGGGACTTTAATTAAGGGTATTTTTTTAAAATTTCTTACCACCGGTGGCGGTGATCGACGCCGGAAACGGTGGCCAGCCGGAACTCGGCGAGAGAATTGAAGAGAGAAGGGAGAGCAGCCAAAATGAAAAAAATGAGAGGTTTGGCCCTAAGGGCCGGATTTTGGGTTTATATACCCCTCTCCAAACGACATCATTTTGGGGAGGGGTATCTGTGTACTTTCATAATAATAAAACCCTTTCCGCAGTTCGTCGAAGTTTGTAAACTTCCAATTTGGTCACTAAAATCAATTTATGTGCCTTTTAATTTTGACTTTCAATTTTACTTTATTATGTTTTAGTCATTGCACCATAGTTATATATATTTAAGTAAAATATCTTATTTAATCCTTAAAATTTTAAATTTTATTTATTTATTTTGATCCCGAATAGCTGGAAATTATTTTCTAAAATTTCTAAACCATACAATCAAAATGATATTTGAATCCAAATTAGGAAAGTCAGCTTGATTATAAAAAATTGGGTCCCATTCCTTTGAATATATCCCTATGATACAAATTGAATTATTAAACAATAAGAATTGGGTCCTCTGCACATTACAAATTCAAAGTTAGGTAGTTATAATATATTATGTAATATTTAGTAAAAGTAGTTTACCGATATGCATGCACCTTTACCTCATAAGGAGAAATTTGTGATGTGGTATGTTTATTTATATACCGATATATTTATATAATATTAAACCATGTTTTAAAATATTTACTTTAATATTTTAAATATAGTATTTAATTATTGTTTTATTTTTATTTTTATTTTTATATGAACATATATACATTTGTTTAAATAATAATATTTATTTATTTTTTTAATATTAAAAAAGAACATTCTTAAAGCAACTAGATGTCTTATTCTGATATTTTAAAAATAAATAAATATCCTGCTTATAAAAATATATATATATATTTACTTCATTATTTTTAGGAAAATTATTATTATTTTTTATTTATTTATTAATATTAAAGAAATGACAATCTTAAAGCAACTAGATATATTTTCTAATATTTTTAAATAAATAAATATCTTATTTACAAAAACCTAAATATATATATATATACATATATTTAGTATTTTTTCTTCAGAAATATCAAATTAAATTTGGAATAATAGGATCATAAATTAAATAGATATTCGAATTCTTAAATTCTATTATTAGAGACAATCTATAACCGACAAGGACCAAATTTGGGCGTTGTGGGAGTGCTAATCCTTCCTCAAACATAACCGACCACAAATCTCTTGTTATTATTAAAATGAACGAATTTTTGGTTAAACGCATACCGGTTTATCTTTTAAATGATGTTTTCTTAAAAACTCTTTTAAAAGATAATTTTTTAGGTATTCGACCTACCTAACTCAAAAGGCCGATGGCGACTCCAAAACATTTCATTAAAAACCATTTATTTATTCACATTATTTTTCCCACCAAGTAAAATTTCGTGCCCGGACAAACCCGGTTACGACAAAAAGCTTGAGGTGTAACTTATCAAGAAGACAAGCAAGAAATTGATAGTTCACATTATCCTTTCAGCAATATGTAGCAATCTGATCACTTAAATTTTTTGCTTCGCACAATAGGAAAGGTTACAGAAGCACCAAGGTAAGTTAATCATATAAAACATGAAACAATCCTCAAACATTTTCAAATTCCATCCAATTTATCACAGAAGGAACTGTAAATATCATTTTATGCATTCAAACTATTCATAATTAATTAGGATTAGGAACAAAATTATAGTTCTAATCATCATAGTTAATACAGCAATTAATTAATTTTCACAAGATATAACATGATACTGATGAAGACGTATAATGCAGATTCATAAACCCAAGCTTATAAATGTTCCATAAAATTACCTTGTACAAGCCATCATATGTATACACTTTTCCAGAGTAACTGCTAGCAGATTCATGACCATGAATTACTCGAACAGGCACCCCAAGGTCCACAGAGTTCTATAATTAAAACAAGGCAGAAAGTAAGCTACAAGTTCCAAAGAAATGCCATACAAGAGTCTCTATAACCCAAGACAAACACAGAGTCATTCAACAGACTTGTTTTAAGATGCCATAGTGTTAACGAGTTATGGATTGGATCACCAGGCGATTCACGTGAAAATACTTCAATTGGTAAAGCCTTACCTTTGTTGCAATTATCTTATGAATAACCTATGATTAATAATACACATGAAACTCGTCAAAGGAGCTCCTTACCCTCAAACTCGCAAAAGAGAGTTCCTAACCTGGGAACTCATCCTAGGGAGCTCTTAAGCATTCCATCTTTGGTTCCTTTAACTTCTTGATCCATAACACAAAATCTATAACCTCCAATCAGATGCCAGGCAAAACATTCCTATATTTAAGGGTGAGCAAAACTCATTCAACTTGAAAGAACCAATTTTTTTTCAAATTTCAAGTTCAAGTTATTTGAGCCATCTCGAATTTTTGGTTCGAACTTCAAGTTCGATTCAAATTCAAATTTCAAAGTTCGAATTAATTGTTTTGCAATTTGATCCCTAATTTCCTTGTTTCTTCATTTCATCCTTATTTTGAAGTCTTTTTTTTACCAGATTTAAACCAGATGCTCCTCCACCACTTTAGAATACCTATGTAGCTTCAATTCCTCTTTTTGACAATAAATTTCCTCTTCTGTAATTTTCCCTCCACTTTACATTTTATTCAATTTGATCTTTCAATTACAACTCTTTGCAATTTTTTTCTTCACATCAATTCCTTGACTCTTTACACATAAGTACTTTGTCCTCAAAATACTTTCTTAAAAAAAAGCATTATAAATATATTATATAATTTTAGATGAAATTTGATTTATTCAATAACATTACAAATCTTACTTACACATGCCAAAAAGTATATGAAGAAATATATATGTATTATCATATATAATTAGAGAGCTGTTTAAATTGGAACAAATTAGTACCATGGCATTGTAAATAATTATATTTAAGTTTGAATAGAAACTCGAACAAATATATTTAATTCAGCTCAACTCGAAAGAAATTTCAAATAAATTTAAATGATAAAATGATACTCGTAAACTCAAATCTTTTCCAACTCAACTTGATTGAATACTCACCCATACCTATATAAAACATTAACTTAATATGCATATCCACACACATATATAATAGAACCTTTATCACTCTTAAACCCAACATATGATAGTTGTGATGTTAGAAAGCATATATAAAATATATTTAATATGCAACAAATGAAGCATGATCATAATCATACTCATACTATACTAAGATAAGAAAAAATTGAATAAATTTAGTTTCCAAAGAGTAACAAGTTTAGTTAACCATACAAGAACATGGAATAAGAGTTAAAATTCACACCTTGAGCGCCAGATTACCACGTTCTAAAACTTGATCTCGTATTTGACGCTTATTACCAGTCAGGTCATGTCCTCCCTGTCCAGTATATATTACATCTTCAGCATTATCTAAGTCATCCTCATACATGCCTGGCAAAACTATAGCAACTGCAAGTGGGAATGTATAGTGTTCATACTCCTGCAATTTTCAACCACAAAATATGAAAAAATTAACTGAGATGGTGGTATCAAGAATTTTGTTGGAACTCTGGTTTCTTTCTTTGATTTCAGAAAACAACAAAAGGAGCATACATCAAACAAATTTATGAGAGAAAAATATTATATGTCTAAAAGGTCTAAAAGGGAAAAAGGGCGGGAAACAAGATAAGGTTTTCCAAGTAATTGAAGCTTCAATAAAAGAAGATTTTAGCCCAGATTAAAAATAGAAATATTTGAACTGGCAAATAAAAGAGAAGCAAGTGGCACCCAGCTCATTAGGTGTCGATTCATGTTCAAGCTTGTTTCCTTCAAGGGATATTTTATGCAATAACATATTGTAACGGTAGCCAAAAGCACTTTGGGACAACATAAAACAAACGAACAGAAGCAGTCCCCTGCACAAACTGGATTCTTCTCCAGTTTTTGGAGGTTGGCAGGCTGGACAGTTACTTTCAATGTACAAGGTAGAAACAATTGGAAAATATGAATGTATTACCCCTTTCCTGTAGGACTGTCCCATATAATCAATACCATTCAACCAGTGGCTATGAAAACCAACAGCAATCATTTCAGCACGAGAATAAAACCGATGACCAACGTCAATACCTGCCATTACATTAAATACACCTTAAGAGAATAGTTTCTTAAACTCAAAAAACAAGATTTTTGAAATGAGCATAAGAGTATGTATTAACCAACTAACACCAGCATCAAAATATAAGCTTCCACAACCAACCTGGAAGGCAGCCTATCCTTTTCTCGGAATAAAGCACCTCATTGTTCTCTATCATCTGCAATGTTTTTAAATAAGATTAGCATGTTATTATTGCAAGGAGCTGTGAAAAAACCCTTTGTTAGATTAAACATAGCATATGAATCCATCTAACAATATGATTTAAATCAATGTAAGAAAGGATAAAATATGCAAGCCAATTCACTATAAGTTTACCCTTGGGCCTTGGTTTAGGTAAAAAAAAGGTATGATGGATACTAAATTTTACAACAGAATAAACAAAACAAAAAAAAGAAGGGGAAAAAAAAGCCGAGATACTGTAAACAGACAGGGCATCTATACTGACTTGCCTTTGATATTGCTTTCAGGTCAGGTCGCTTGGTCTTGCCCTTGACATCAACCTCAGGTACATCTCCTTTCTGCATACATTTGAGTATTAACAATGAAACTAAAAAACAACATGTGCCTGTGTGTGGATACAAACGTGTAAGAATTAATCCACATGTCCTTATAGTTGCAGAGAGGTTGAAGGAGCAACGGAGATAGATAAATGATGGCAGATTACACAAACGTGTAACTTGTATACTACAAACCATGAGAGTCATCAATCAACGCATAAAAAAGGGGATTATGTACCTTTGCATTTTTGCCCTTCTGGGGTTTCTTGTTAACTTTGACTGCAGCACACCTCATTTCCTCTTCCTAAAGGACCAGTCATAAAAGAATTGTACAAGCAAAAAATATGCTAAATTTATATGAAATGATGAAAAAGAAAACAAAGCATATTGTATAATCAAACGAGGATAGTGGATTTCCAATCCAAAATGAAAGCAACGACATAATGCCCAGAATAAAAACAGACCTGAACAAAGTGAAGGTAATGCTTGTTGAACAACCTCAAAGTCTCCTTCACCTTAATAGGTGCACTCTTCTCAACAACATTTGGAGCATTGATAGCGCTAGTGGAATCTAGTCCCTTAGCAATCTTGGCAGCTCGTTGCACCATTTTGGCTACTTTCGCAGTCATCTTGGGTTCACTCCGAGGAAGTTGTAGGGAACCATTTTGATTTAGGTTTGGGTTTTCTGTGTTCACTTTGGGTTCAGTCTGATATGTTGAAATCTCAGGAAGTTGTTCGATACCATTTAGATTTATGTTTGGGTTTTCCATAATCTTATTGACCTTTTTTCTGCAACTTGCTCCGTTTTTACCCAGGAGGTCCACTCCCCGCTTTACCAGAAGCTCCATGTCAGCTTTTTGTTTGGCAGCTTGATGTCTGGCACTACCTCTCCTTTGTCCGGAGACGTTGTCCTTGGGCGAGGAACCTTCCTCTAACTGGATCTTGACTTGTTGCTAGGGTTTTCCGGCGATAGGACGGAACTGTACTCGGAGGGCAGAGACTGAACTACCATTTCGTAAATCTAAAAGATAAGAAAAAAGGATTGAAGAAATGGAAGGGAGGAAAGTTTGGTGTAGCCGGGTAGGATACGAAACGACACGGAGAATGAATTGGGAGTGACTCAGTGAGTTAGATGTGATCACCAACTCAGAGTCACTGGAGGCAGAGCGGGAAAGGAGGTGCAGTGGTGGGGAGCAAGGAATCCCAATTCATTGCCACATACTTGGAAAACTTCTAAAAAAAGGATGGAGGGAAGAGAGGGAAGGTTTCCATTTTTCACCGAATGGATTTGGAGGGGCTCCCGCACGGGTGTTCATTTTTTTATTTTAATTCAATTAACCGATTGAATTGAATTAATTTGATTAATTTAATCGATTACCGAATTAATTCAGTCGGAGAATGATTAATATTTTTTAATATTTAATTAATGGTTAATTCAATTCGAAATCGATTAATTAATTAAATTAACAGAAATTATTAAATATAAAATATATTATATATTAAATACATATTTTAAGCTCTAACTCATTAAAAATAAGACTTAATTATTTTTTAATCAAACTAAACTCATTAAATTATTAATACTTAATTAAAATTTTAATCAAATAAAAAATACTTATATTTTATTCAAATTAATCTAATTAAAAATTATAAAAAAATGTTTAATTATGTTAAAGGTCAAAATAATCGAACTTTATCCGGTTCGTTAATATTTAAAAAAAATTGGTTCGATTAACCGAATTAACCGTTTGAACACTCTAGGCTTTCTATTTTTTAGAAGATAAATTACATAAATAGTCATTAATGTTTGAGTAACTTTTGTTTTCCTCATTGAAATTTTAAAATCATCAATTTAATCATTAATATTATCAATTTATAACAAAATATCATTAAATACTATATCTTGTATAGTCAAATATACATAAGAATGCCAATAATATTTCTACTGTAATGATCGTATTCTATATTAGACTGACACTTTTATTTTAAATTAGTTTCAGCAAAACAACTATTAATGAGAGATATAACTTTTTTATGTTGGTTTTCTTCGGGAGTTCATATAGGTACTTCCTTTAACTACATCAATGACTCTCCACACCTTTGTACCGTAACTCTCCCAAAATAGTTGAAATTCCTCGAGTTATTTTTGAGAAAATCTCATACTCAAAAGTGAAACCATAACCATTGAACCAGATTGTATTAAATCAGTGGTACTTCGTGACGCCATTGGCTTTTAACGAAAGATGCATTTTATTCCACACACAAAAAAAAACCATTGAATCTTTTTTTATATGGAAGTAACTAATTTTATTAAAAATATAAAATATCAAAATTACAATTAAGGTTTACAACCATAATTGTAAATTAGATATATGATAAAGATATTATTTTAAACACGAGAAAATTAGCCACGTAAGAACATATAAAGATTATATAAGAAAAAGGTTAAAAACTCTAACCAGATAAACCCGAACAAAAGTTAGATACAAACAGGAGATGAATCTATTGAAAGACAACCGAAAAAACGTAAATCAATCGAAATACGTGAAAATAATATTCACGAAAGTATCCAAAACAAGAAATATTGACATGATAACAAATAAACACATCTTGATCAATTGTAACGATGTTAAATCCAACCATAAAAACAAGATAAACGGAAAAAATATCCAAAATACCTAAAACTTTCCATAAAGGCTTAAAAAATGTGTCATCAAAATAGAAGAAGACATGTCATAAAAAGAGAATTATTAAAAATAAGTAACAAGAAAAAAAATAAAGATATGTTATAATAAAACAAAGGAAAAACAATGAATATTGATGGTCGACGGCGACCAACACCAAGACTAATGTCACCTCTTATCACAAAGATCTCATTAAACCCAATTTTAAGTAAGTAGTTGAGAAGTTTTGAGTACTAATTTTACGGTGTTATGAGTATCAATTATAGCTTGAAACTTTTTGATTCAATCTAATTAGGTCATTTTTAAAAAATAGGTCGGGTCATATTCTTTTTGAAGGGTCTAGTTGAATCGGGTTTGAATTAAAATTACAAAATTATGCCTCGATTTGAGATAATATTATAAACATCTCTTATATATATAGGTATAATTGCAATAACATCTCTCTATATTATTTTTTTCAATTAAATTATTATTTTACTTATTGAAAATAAATTATATATATTAAAACCAAATCGAATACGAATTTTGACTTTAAAAATCAAGTAAGATAAGATCCTCTTAAATCTGAATCGAATTGGAATATAAATTTGGAAGAGATGATGTAAGAAGGAGTTCATTTTGGTCATAGTACTAGGAAATGGAATCCTATAATAGCGCCATATATCTCTTCAAAACATAAGGGTATTCATATTACAAATCTCACAAGATCTACTCATTTTCATCAAAAGCTTGTGATTTACTTTTTGATGTAGCAAGTAAGGGAAAACAATTCTTAATTGTTGGTAAACAGTTGATTTGGTGGCGCGAGTTGCAATAAGGGCTCGGTGTCATTATGTTAATAAAAAATGGCTCGGTAGTATGTTAACAAATTGACCCACTACAAAAATGAGGCTTCATAAGTTCAGGGACTTGAGAACAAAACAAAAGGCAGGGAGACTCAATCGTCTTCCGAAAAGAGATGCAACTATGTTGAAGAGACAATTATCTCGCTTGCAAACATATTTGGGTGGGATTAAATATATGACGAGATTGAGACGTTACCTTGTCATAATGTGATGTGTTTCCAATGCCAATAAAAAGTAACCCATCCAATGGCATTTAACATTAAGAAAACCGCCAAATAAAATGCATCCCACGCTGAAATATCACAAGTATCACCTCGGTCCGGACCATCGCAAGGAAAACTATAACGAAATTCTTTTTATCGGACATTAACTTGGAACCGCACGCATCTAAAGCGCCTTTTACTAAGATCAATGTAGTTGTATGTAAACCTATAGCAATAGCATGCCGAACCAAGAAGTCTCCAGGACCTATTATTAAGAATATTAAATTACTATTTTCATTAACAACATTTAACCAACGAGGCAACCATATGCTTCGACCCGCATTGAATGTTGGGCCATTCGTTGAAGATAAAAATACATCGAACATGTATGAAGTTTTACCACAAATAGAATTTATCATATTTTATACATAGATAGAATAAGGTCGTAAAATAAAGATAAAGAAAGACATAATGAATGAAAGAGAATTCTTACCAATAGATCCTTTGAATGATGAACAAATAGGGATACGCTCATTCATAAAAAAATAGGATCAATTCAATCTAATGTTGATAGAATATAATAATTATATTTCTTTCAATTTTATTGATGAACATCTCCCGCATTCAAAGCCCCTTTCTTACCATTAACAAGAACTTGTTATAGTTGCATATCATAAGGAATTCTAACAACCGATTCAAATACAATATCAGGAAGTACCACTTGTGGAACATCAATATCCACAAGTTTATTAGCTAAATGGCAATTGGCACATACAATACGCCCAGTTGTTTCTCATGGATTTTCATACCCCTGTTGCACAAACATGGGATACACATTTGAAATGGATGCCCCAATTATTATATAGATCATGGGTGATACGAAAATGGATCGAGTAATATCCTTCTTTATCCAAGAAAAAATATTTCTAGTTTGCATGGTCCAATCATTGATCCCGAAAATTTCTATAACAAAATTAGGTAGGTCACTAGTGTAGTTCCCTATCCACAATTATGTTATTTACCTTTACTGAAAACTAATAAAAATTGGATGAAATAGACGAGTCTCCTGATGGGTAGAAAGAATAAAGTGCGACTTTGCATGCTTTAATTATATAGAAAGTAAGGAAAGATTATAATTGAATCTGTGAATCATTTTTAGTCATTCATTGAATGATAAATAACAACAAGTGAAGGAGATACATGATTTAAATAATGAAAGATCCAATATTTAAAAATTGTATCTAGAATGAATGGAAAGGTAGAAACAAGATCAGATATAATTTGACCATTATAAGCAAATTCAAAATCTTTATAGATATAGCCAATCATTAGTTTCCAACCGTGAGACGAATGGAATCTGATACATAAATTTATTAATAAAAGAACAAAGAAAAAACTTTTATTGTGTCGCTTAAATTATATAGGAATTCTTGAACCCAAGAGTTAAGAATAAGAAGTTCTTCATTCCCCAAAATAGAATAACCACTTAGAATAACACTCAATAAAAGAATGCCTAAGGATTTTTTTGGGGCATTTTGAGAGTTATTTGACTTGAGTTATGAGAGTACAAATGTTTTTTTTTTGCTAAAAAGACGGTTTAACGGTTGAAATGTCTAATTGATTTGTTGATTTATGGATTTTTTTGACATTCTAATTCCATACATTATAATTTCATACATAGACATAACTTTATAATTAATAATTAATCATTTTTTCTCGAACCATACGAGGATAAAATTTCTTATACGTTTCTAGGGGGTATTATTTAACTACATCTATCCCAATGAGCCGTTTATCAAATCGTTTCAATTGATGTTCGATCCCAAAGAGAGTGAAGAGATATTCGAAAAGTGGATTTTATGATCTGATAAATAATCAAACCTATTTAAATGTTCCGGCTATTCTTTTTTTCCCTTGAAAAAGGAGCTCAACCCACCAAAATTGTTCATGATATTTTAAAGAAGGTCGGGGTTTTTACAGGACTTAGTATTAATCAAACAAAATTCAATAAATGAAATACAAAAAAGGGTAGAATCGATCAAACAAATCCAACACATCTGAACCAGATTATAAAAATCTCTAAACAAAAAAAAATCCTATAAGTAGTTTATAATCCTCTGCTTATGCAACGGATGGAGGTTGAACAGCTACGAAACCGGAAATACTCTTAGACAGATGCTTGCACGCTTTCTCATAATTCACAAATCCCAAGTCCATAAACCATGTACATCCACCGTAACCACCTGCATATATTTCTCCGACGGATTCTCCCTCATTATTACAGGGTTTACAGTCCCAACTTTGCTCAGTGGTATCATAACCTTGAAATAACTCCATGTTTC